ATGTTTTAAAGATTATTGTAAATCAGGAAACAGCAAGGTGGAGTGAAGGGAAATTGGAAAGAGCTCTCAGCTTACGAATGTATAATGCAAGAACATGGGCCCTCGCTCCAGTTTAATCTTGCCAACAGTTACTAGACCAAGTTCCTTGAACAAAAAGTCATTATTATGACTAACCATTCTGTATTTATAGAGAAGTAACATTAGAAGAAAAACAGTTCAAGCAGCACTCGTGCTAGATGTTCTTTGCTTTTTCCTGTATGTGGTCTTTTATTCTAGCGTTAATTGTGGTTATAAATTATTCCCAACCTGCTTTGGAATGAGTTTACACAGACTTTGTGCTGTTGAAAACACAGTACATTTATACATACAAGACATAAAGCATTCAGCAGCTCCAGGGGTAAAAATACCATGTATCAGGAATCAAACCCACAGAAGAATTAAAAAGTACTTATCATTAAAATATTTCTCTGCCTGTTGCCACAAATGGCTGCAGCTACTTCTGCACCACACAGAGGACACTGGACTGGGCAAAGTGGTCACTGACAGGTGTCTTTGAGAGGCACTTGGGACAGGAAAGTTTTTGTTTTCACAAAGGACGAGATCTGGAGATAAAAGAGTCTTGTTAAGACTGAGTGGTGAACAGGATGGGGAAGGAACGTGGGCACCTAACCCCTGTGTATGACCATCCAGGCCAGAAAAGATGAGACCAAAAAAGCTTGAAAGGGAGAAGAACGGCTTATATTTCTTTTTTTGCTGTGTTGGAATATATCAGCCCCCACGAGGGGGAATGTTATTTGAACCACCCGGGGTGCACATTCCTCTGAGAGCCAGGGAACGTGGAGCCTTGGCAGGCAGGCCAGATGCCAGGCCAGGACAGAGCAACCCTCTCACAGCCTTCCTATGTTTCTGTCAGCTCTAGCAAAGGGGGAATGAAAAAAAAAGAGCTTGTTAAGTCTCATACAGCTTTCAGATCAAATTTTTATCCTGTTTCACTTTGGAAGTCTCTTGAACAAGCTCAGTGCTTCAAAGCTGAGGCTGCAAATCTCCCAGGGAAGGTTCCTGTGTTTAATAAGCTGTTTTGACTGGAATTCAAAGAGAAAGTAAAGACTTCTGTTGGCTTAGCTGTAGAAAATGTGGCCCAGACCTGTAACCTCATATCTGACCAGACAAAAATGTGTACTCTGTTAAAAATTGGAGATTTCTCAGAAACATTGGCATTAGAATAGCTCTGGTTCCCCTGAAGTCAATAGCAAAAAGTCTCATCATCTCTCATGGAAATACCTGTGACTAACTTTATTTGGAAAGAAGGTGCTGGAAGGCGGTGCCAGAACACTGACATAACAAACCTGTAAGTTATATAGTGGCTCAGCTACTGGGCAAAATAGTTCACTCTTTTCAACAATTTCCACCACAAAATTAACCCTTGAAGGGCTTCGTATCCTAAGAGCATGCTGAATGCTGACAGGCAGGGAAGCACAGAGCAACAGAAATACTGTTAACATGATGCAATGCTTATAATTAACTTATAATAAGATGGAACCATGACTCATGCGATTCAGACTTTCTCGAATGACCTGAGGGAAATTTTGGTGGTTTCTGAGGACCCTGTCAAGTTTCCCTGGTGCCTCATCTCCAAGGCCTTCAAGCACGAGGTAGCACATCACCCCTGTTGACTGCACCAGAAGTCCTGGAAACAGTGGATCAGTCCTTCCTACCACCGCTGCATTGAGACATGTACTCATACCACTTCCCTTGGTGCTCACACTTTCCATCCTAGGGCACACAGATACAAAAATAAATACTGCATCAAGACAGTGAATGTCTCCAGAGGATTTCACTAAATGAAAAATGAAATCTAACCCCAGCAGAGACACCTTTGCTGTGACAGGTCTTGTTTTCTTTAAGTTTTGTTTTTCTTCCTCTAACACAAATATGATCCATCATCCGCCCAAATTCAAACCTGATGTAGACTTTCAAAAACTGCTTCCAGCTAACTGTGGTACTTGAACGGCAGTCGGTCCTTTCCCATCTATTCTTGTTAATGTCTCTATTCACCAAACTTTCCCTCACAATTAAATTCCCATATTTGAAATTTAAAGTGACAGAAGTGAACAGCCCTGACTGAAGAAAACATTAGTCCTCACATTTCTGCCAGCGTGGACAGGAACATATATGCCCTTTGCAGGCTGGAAGGTCCACTGTAAAAGTTTCCAAAATCCACCTGTTTTGATTAGTATGGTTTGCATGCAGGAGGCCAGAGAGAGTAAAATATGGAGCTTTCATTTCCCCTTTGATTTCAGCACTTCTTTTCCATTAACTGCCCCATTTCCTGATTCATCTACATCAAAGTTAGTAAAATGAAAACACCCCTGGAAGCCTACAAATCAATAGATAAAATAACTGAGGTTGATCAATTTGCTAAGATCAGAAGGACTAGTTGCAATTTTCAAATGACTGGATAGTATACATGCTTATTTTTATAGCAAACTCATCAGTTATCCCAGGATTTCAAAACTCCTCATTAGAAAAACAGGTTTTTTGATTTTCCAGTAGGTATTACTACTAGCGCTGGTTAGAAAATAACGTTTTTCCCACCTTGGAACATAATGACGGCAATGATTCAAATACAGAAAAATGTGACCCAAAGTAGCTGAATTTAAATCTAGACTTTCACAGCTCCCATGAAGCATCATGGGGAAGCAAACAAAATACATCATCTGAAACCAAGTCCTGCCAGAAATTTCAGACAATAGGGCAGAATCAGCCCAAAAGACAAGTCAGTTTTAGCTCTTGTGATGTTCTGCAGCAGCATTCAAAAGAGAAATGTTCTGAGTTAAATGCAGTTCCTTAGTCCACAGACAGGCAAAATTCCCTATAGAAAGCTCATATCTTCTGTAGTTTGGGCTTTTTTTCTTGTCAAAGACGAGTCCTATTTCAAAAAAGATTTTGATAAAAACCTTCAGACAATTAGCTACATATAATAACAGATAAAAAACTCACTTTACCATTAGGACAACTGAGACACAGCAATAAGTAGTGGTTATAGATTAACTTTGTGGTAGACCTGTGGGCTACATCTCCAGCATTTACCCTGAGCAGCTGCCAATGATCAGTTTGATCCTGATCTCTTGATTCCAAGTTTGGCATCCAAATAAATATTTTGGCCAGTAGAATTTACTTTAATTTAGTTCAGAAATTTTCCCTCCATTCCTTCATAACATGACATTATCAAAAGCAAGCAAACCAAAGGGGTAGAATCTAAATCTCCCTTAAATTTGAGGAACACAGGAGCAGCTTACATCCAAGTTAAACACAGTATAAAATGAAGTAAGTGGAATCAGAATCTAGCAAAAGTTGCAAAAGTAGAAAAACTACCAACACAAGAAATTTTTCATAGGGTTATTTGTTTTTTGTATTGGAGATTGGGGAATATCAAGGCGCTAAGACAATGTCAACGCTCTGCTGGGGCAGCAATTCTTTCCTTATGTGTTTGCGCAGTGCCTCGAACAAGGGGGCTCCAGTCTCAGCTGAAGTCTATAGTCATTAAAGGAATGGTAGTGCTAACAGTTGTGTACCACCCTCTAGATAAGCAATGTATGTGCTCCAGATGGCTCACAGTCTAAGTGAAGAACGCAAAGTATGGGAGGAAGCAACTCTTATTTATACCATTTAAAGGAGGAAGGCCAAGGTCCAGAAATCTGAACAAGGTCATATATTGCCAAGAACTGAATCAAGGTTTCCTCAGTCCCCATCTAATGCTTCAAATGGGGGGGCCATCTATCTTCTCTCTCAAGGAGAGAATTATAAGCATAAAAGGCATGCCTTTGATGCACTGACAAATCACCTGCCATCAGACAGTTGTTTATCTCATAAAAACATTCATTCTGTCATAAAAGTGGGTTTCCTGATTAAATAATAGGACTAAATAGGGGTCGGTATTAGGACCGGTGCTGTTTAACATCTTTGTCGGCGACACAGACGGTGGGATTGAGTGCACCCTCAGCAAGCTTGCAGATGACACCAAGCTGAGTGGTGCGGTTGACATGCTGGAGGGAAGGGATGCCATCCAGAGGGACCTTGACAGTTGGGCCTGTGTGAACCTCATGAAGTTCAACAGGGCCAAGTGCAAGGTCCTGCACCTGGGTCAGGGCAATCCCAAGCACAAATACAGGCTGGGCAGAGAGTGGATTGAGAGCAGCCCTGAGGAGAAGGACTTGGGGGTGTTGGTTGATGAGAAGCTCAACATGACCCAGCAATGTGTGCTGGCAGCCCAGAAGGCCAACCGTATCCTGGGCTGCATCCAAAGAAGCGTGGCCAGCAGGTCGAGGGCGGTGATTCTGCCCCTCTACTCTACTCTGGTGAGACCCCACCTGGAGTATTGCGTTCAGCTCTGGGGCCCCCAACATAAGAAGGACATGGACCTGTTGGAGCGAGTCCAGAGGAGCGCCACTAAGATGATCAGAGGACTGGAGCACCTCTCCTATGAAGACAGGCTGAGAGAGTTATAGCAGCCTTCCAGTACCTGAAG